ATACATCTCTGACAACCCTGTATAAATGCACGTGTTGTGTGTAAACTCTTGGGGCAGATACATCTCTGACAACCCTGTATAGATGGACGTGTTGTGTGTAAACCCTTGGGGCATATACATCTCTGACTACCCTGTATAGATGCACGTGTTGTGTGTAAACTCTTGGGGCAGATACATCTCTGACTACCCTGTATAGATGCACGTGTTGTGTGTAAACTCCTGGGGCAGATACATCTCTGACTACCCTGTATAGATGCACGTGTTGTGTGTAAACTCCTGGGGCAGATACACCTCTGACTACCCTGTGTAGATGTAAAAATACATATATTCTTTTAAATGTTTTCAGTACTTACATAAATCACTAAAGACATATCAGGCTGGTTCGTTATCACGGTACTGTGAGTGAATCGCGCTTACTGACATTTGAAACGTATTGTAGTTATATCATGTTTGTAACAGTTATGTTTTGTTCTTGTATATACAGTATTGAAGTGCAATTATTTCTTTTATGTAGTTCAAGTAACCCCTTCAACGGAAAACATAATAACCATGACGACTTCTGTATCGGGGATCGACTTCGATGTCTCCATGTTTTACCACGTTTCTTATTCATGAACTAAAATATGTATTACTGTTGCGAAGATCCGGAATAGAAACCCATGCTTGCAGTGAAAGTCGACTTTGCTTGTCGTAAGAGGCGACAAAAAGGATCGGGTGGTCAGTCTCGCTGATTTGGTTGATGCATGTCATCGTATCCCAATTACGTGGATCGATGCTCATGATGTCAATCACTGGATTGTCTGGTCCAGACTCGATTATTTACAGACCGCCGTCATAAGCTTGCATATTGCTAAATACGGCGGTAAACAACAAACAAACAAACTTATTGCAGTAGTATTGCGATTTTTATTCCGCCATCATCATAACCATCAACGAAGCTGTGGCAGAGAGTGGGTCCATGTTGAGTGAGTGAGTATGGTTTTACGCCGCTTTTAGCATTAGTATATCAATACCACAACGGGTGACACAAGAAATGTTAGTTAGTTATAGTCACATCGGCCATATTTCAGCCATATCGTGACACCAGAAATGTGCACGGTATCTATAAAATTTGAACAGAGATATGGTACACTGATTTATCGAGGATGTAATTATTTGTGATGTCAAATAATGCATTCATTAATTATCCCTGACATATAATGGCGTATTCATGAAGTTCAATGACAAGTGAGTGAGTTTGGTTCTTGTGATAGCCTCTTTGGGAGTAATTGGAAAATTAGATGGAACGATTGTAGACTGTAGATTTATTTCAATATTTTTTGTACAGTTAAAGACAACATGTTTAAAATTCTGACGAAAATGATATTTTTCTTGGCCATGTCTTGGAGCAACATTTGCTTGTTGCCAGTCAAAACATTCACTGATTGGGAGTTTCTGCATTAGTCCCTTCTATACACTTATGAAAACTGGCGCTGTATATAATAAAAAAGAAAAAGAAAAAGTATTTTGTACACATGAAGGAAGAAACTCTGAAAGGCGAGCAAGACGACTAGCCCAATCGTGTCACCGATAATGATTTATTCATGAACTAAAATGACGATTTATTCATGAATTACAATGACATATTCTAAAATTATTCCTGTAGTCCAAAGACGTATTCATGAATTATTCATGAAGTAAACTGAAGTATTCAAGAACCAAGTACAAATATTTATTTTGGAAGTGCAGGAGATACCCAGGTTGAGTTCAATACTGAGCGAGTTTTACCCATTTAGATAGGAAATGCACCTGTTGGATTGTATGGTAAAGTGGGGAATATAGTATCCATTTTCGAAATACTAAGGTCAGACAGTGTAACAGTGCGATGCTAATTCTCATAATTTATTATCAAAAGTGCTCGTTGGTAAGTTGACGAATGTGATTATTTCTGTGCAATCTACTTTCAATGTTTGATGTTATTATCGGACCTTCTAAGGAACACTCCATGAATAATTATATAACCCTGAGAATATTAACTAGATCCCCAATGATTCATAATTTCGAATAAAGCGGGGATCAGGTGGCAAGGTTTGATGCTATTAATAGATTATACTACCATGAGTTTTGAAAATACTCGATTTTGACTGGTCAATCAGAGATTACAAATTACAATAGCCACCTCTGATTGCAACAGCTGATTTGTCGGCCGCATAACCGCGGAGTCTTATATCTCAGTTATTGCTGGTGTCCCGGTATAAACTCTTCCCCGTACAAATTCGCCCACGGAGATTTTATACCGTTACAGATTCCGGAGAATCTGTTCTGAAATAAAATCTCCCCCGGGCGGATATATTTCGCGCCCCCCTCAGTATAAAGTCTCCCCCCTGATTATTCGGTTTGTTGCAATGTCTTTAAGTACTATATTCTTTAAATAGTTATCTTTAATGTAAGGAGGGTAACTTTAAAAAATAGATTATGAAATATGGTCATAATGAATTGATATTTCAGAATATTTTATTTGGTAACTGTACCTTCCATCCTAAAATAATTATAAGACATGATCATACCAAACAAAGGATGGGAGACAAGAGTCTCTACAGAGTTTGTTGTTTCTAATACAGTTGTTGTTGTCTGTATACATTTTTTTATTATACCAGTTTGAGTCTACAATCGATGGTTGAAATGTTAGTCTAAGAACAAAACATGAACTAATTCTCAAGAACTCTGATGTATAAAGTTACCTTCATCTTTGATCGACTGATGTATTTTCAATCTTTATTCAGCACTGAAGAGGCCACAGGCCTATAGTACGAAGCATTAGGTTTATGAATAATCAGCATTGATTTTGACTCCATAAACTGTTATAAAGTATTCATAAAGTATCAGGGGTCATTTCAACTTGCAAAATGATTGACATAGTCCTTTACAGAGCGAGGATTGGGCTGTTTTCCCACCCGGTTGACTGATATTCCAACATTCATATGGTTTAGAATGGTACAATGAATGGTAAAGCATGCAAATTACACTAATACGCGATATTTCATAAGAAAATATCATATCTCCGTTGAAACATAAAACCAATATTTATGAGTGTACATATTGATATAAGACTTTATCACTGTATCCAATTCCAAAATTTTTGATATAAACTTTCGGACAGTTCAGTTCAAAATTCTTCAACCTTTAATACATCACAGGATTTGTAGCTAGACGACGGGAATCTACAGTCTTGACTGTGTGGTTTTTTTTATGAGAATGTTTCTCACCGACCTTAGCGTGTAGGGCTGTGATGTCCTGGGCAGGAAATGACAGTGTTTTGACTACTCGTCTTACATTAATTAACGTTATGGGCATCCCTAATTAACCTTTACTAATTCATGTTAAACCAACACAGGATGTTTTCTGGAAGTGGACAATCGCGAATGTCATAGGGCTGACACGGCAGGTGTTAATAACTGTCCTAGAACTTCTTAAGTTACTAAACATTCTTTATATCTAACGACTAGTACTATATCTACCTATGTACCACTTTATTGTCTCATATTGCGGTAATTAAAAAAACACAGTGCTCAAAGTGAAGCCCTTTTCACTCCACATTCTCAACATCGTCTCTATCAGAAGTGTTTGGCAACTATTGAACTGCATGGCAAGTATTTATAAAACGACCGGGGGAGGAAATATTCTGGGGGGGGGAGATTTTATTTCGTAGGGTGGGGGAGAGTTTATTTCGAGAGGGGCAGAACTGTACCGGTATAAATTCGCCGGGGGGAGATTTTATTCTGGGGGCGAATATATTTCGTGACATGTATAAGGCGTTCTGATACAATGATATGTACAATTATAGGTTACAAAATGCAACGTTGCTGTTGCAACAAATGGTCAAAGTATGTGTGGCAAATATGTTTATTATAATTAACTGCAACCGACAGCAAGAGCAATGCCTCAGTCTATCGATCAGCGGATTGTCTGGTCCAGGCTGGTCCAGCCACACTACAACGCAACCCCCTCAATCCGTACGGTACACGAGTTTGGGATAAGGGAATTGTAGATTGGGGATTAGGGCTTGGGGAATGTTTATGCAAGTTTGAGATGAGAGGGTTAGGGTATTTTACGGCTCATGAATTAGATAATGAGAACAATTATCAAATATTGTAACAAACTGACCAAAACAACACGGATATCGTTATATATATTTCTCTCATCTCAACTCCTTCGTATGAAACTCATCTAATGCGAACTCTTTTATCACGAACTCACCTAATGCGAACTCTTTTATCACCAACTCACCTAATGCGAATTTCGTTTATCACAAACTCACCAAATGCGAACCTTTTTATCACAAAATCACTTTAAGTGAACTCACGATCTCACCTTATGTAAATTCTTTTCTCACAAACTCACATAATATAAACTCTGTTATCCCAAACTTACTATTCAACCACATGCAATAAATTATTAACATTCATGACCCATATTGCTTCACATTACAAATTGTTAAAAAGGAAAAACATTTGTCAAGAAAGGATTGCTTTGTGTAAACAACTAAAATCGATACCAGATTATTTTAACAGTCAGACAAAACACTTGAAAAGAATTTTGCACATTAATATGGTCTGTCAACCTTTTAAACGTAACGAGCATCAAATTAACAACTGATTATGCAAGCTGCTGTGGGATATCAGTTTTGTTTAATAAACCTAATTTAAAATTGATAAGCATGCATAAAAATAGTGAGAAAAGCGAACAGAAAAATGCATTTAATAGAAATAGCATTCAAACCTAATTCATAAACATGTTTTAAGCATTACTCAAGAGTCGATTATCCCAACACTGCATACAATAAATAATCCCTTATTTCAAGAAATCGTCTCCCGAAGCAAAGATTACCCCTAACGTAGAAACACATTGAACAAGTCTAGCTATATGTTTATTTATTTTGAAGTAATTAAGAATGACGTGTTTATATTAATCACAGCAAGAGCATAAGCGTTGCGATAACATGTTATAGGTTTGCGTTTCAGCCCCCAGAACGCCAGTGTTGTGCAGAAGCAGCTCGTGAAGACGGCCGAGGTCCAAGGGCCACCGCGTGCACCGACTCAAACTGTGTCATGCACACGTGATAGTCGGACACTAGCCTTGCTTGAAGGCTGTACTGACAGAAAAGTCCATGGATGTGTAGTGATTCTTTCCTCCTAATAGGCAAGTCTAGATATGTGGACAGTACAAGGACTCCAGTCTCTCATGGGGACAACTTGTGGTTATTATTTTCATAGTCTAGAAAATATGATTAAAACTAATAATTATTGCATTAGAGACTTGTGGAAGGCTAGTCGCTCACACGTAAAGACAGTTTTGGGGAAAATCTATTACAATGCGTATTTGTTTACTTTGGTTTGTATGAAGTTTGTCACACGTCACATTAAATGTTCTGTCTATTTCTTTGTTTTGATAAGTTTGAAACACTTAGAACCAGTTTTCTCTGTTTTATCAGTGAGCTGGGGTGTTCGGATGGTTTGGCTGTTAAAGAACGTAGAGATAAAAATAACAAACAGGTAGGTGTGATTCACACTGCATACGCCCATTCCTTATATGAGCAGTTACTAGTACATGTGAGCTGGGGGTGTGGATGTCGTACACAGGGTTCATTCATTCACGTGTGTCTCCTGACACGAGCATACATGTTGCAATCGTCTGCAGCAATTGAAGTCGTGCATGTGCATCTTTAATATCCACACGCGTACCTGTTTCCCCTCTCCCCCTTGTGTGAGTGTTCATGTGTGTTTACATATGCACGTGCGCACGGGAACATAGGCGCTCCGCCGTGCATTATCACAGAACGCTTGCAATGCAGGTAACGTTTTCAAAACAACTTCGGATGTGACATTAAATGCATCTATTTCCAGTAACAGTCCAGTATCTTCGTGAAACACATTCATCTTCAAACATGACATAAAATACCCTTATCCACATTTGCTTAAGCTGATTCAGATATGTATATATCTTTCATTTCGACATGACATAAGACGGTACACTTAATGACATCGAGCACCGGGAGTATTCGTGGGAATTGTCAGAAAAGAAAGTTTTCATTATTGAACTTTCTTAAATATTTAATCCCTTGGGCCAGATACCTATGATCGTGGGTTCGGTTTGCCCCGATTATATTTCTAGGTTTGTCAGCACCATAGCCCTACTATGTGGTAAACGTCTAAGACCTGCATCAATTCGGGCTTACCTCCCACATTAAGCTGACACGCCGCGACATAACTAGAATACTGTTAAAAGCGGCGTTAAACCCAACTCACTCACTCACTTATATTTATGTTCTTTTCTTCTATTTTCTATAATGTAAACCTAATAACTTTATACGTATGATTCTGTAGCTTTTCTTTATCCACAATGGATGCGGCAGTCCTGAAACTAAACTGTATAACGTGAATATATAATTGAACGTGAACCACTCACACACACTGCTTTTTTACGAGTTTGATCAATGCTTCGGATCGGTTGCTTTTCTCCTGCAAATATGATATAGTTCATTCATAATACCATCACACAATCGTAGGAACCGTTTTAGTCTGGATTAACGACTGTCCACATTAGACTGATAAAGTTTAACTTTTTGGGGATATTGTACGAGAGTCTCATTTAAACGACCCGCGGTCGGCATTTTCCAAGGAACATAGAATGATGTGTCTCTGCCTAATGTGCATGGTATGAGTGATTATGTAGACATACGTATATACTTGACCCCCATAACCATATAGCTGATGACAAATAGCAGCAATAGACATGTTCCAACATAGGTTAATGGCGTCAGGTGAATGAGTGTGAATATATTATTTACGTTGCCTTATTACATACATGGTTGCATGCTGGTTCTCCCGCTATTGCACAAATGGCTGTATATGGATCTCTCCCGTTATAACGTACACTGAGAGTGAAAGGCGAAATAGCAGTGAAAATTATATGAATAGATCACTGAAAACCAGTGTTCGAGAAAAAGGTAAGTATGTCCTGCTCTACCGGTAGCACCCGCCACTCTCACATTTTGCATTACAAAGTAAGTTTGTTTGTTGCCTGCTTACAAAATAGCAGAGTAATGTATGATGTTTTGTCTGCTTGTATTTTAATGAAGACTGCATTATTAGCAAAGTCCTGTCTGTCCGTGCACGATGTCACACAACCAACCAAGTCACCAAGCGTGGCCATTCCATCCATCCAGTCTCCTGTCAATTCAAGCACAGGTTGCTGTGACTGAAGCCGGAATCCCAACATGGAAGAGAAAGTTATCTTCGTCTTCCTCCGACAAAACCTTCCATTTGAAGTCCAACTTGTTATAACCTTAGAAACTCAAAATTAAAAGCTCGGTATAAAAACTTGAACAGGAAAATGTATCATTTCAGGGTATGCCCCATGTATATACAAACTGTCACAAAGAAATAATGTACAGTTGAGTTATGCTATAGTTATATATATATATATATAGTTTCATGAAATAACGGTTTAAGAGTTTTGCCCTTGAAACATTCCCTACCATAAAAATACTAAAAATACTGAATAGCAAAAGGCCCAAGTTTAGTGCAGGTCGCATGGACGTACATCATAGAGAATTATTGAACGGTTTATTAAGCTCCAGAAACGAAACGTGACGGACGGACAGACAGACAAACGGAGCCCGTTTCTCTATCCCCCTCAAACAGTAACTGTTGAAGATTCAGTATGTTTCGGGTTCATCTATACGCGGAAAAGTGGAAGGGGCGGTGTAATATATGTCCTACTTTGTCATACGTTTCAAAGAGCCTTCACTTTCATTATATTCATCAAAGTATAAAAGATTCGTGGCCTCTCGTTTGGAGACTTGAGCGGTTGAAAAAACCACACCCTAATGTTTATAAGACACGTGCGTCTCAAGATGTGTACTTTCATCGTCGCCATTGTGTACTTCACATGTGACAGCTCTGTTTAACCGATTAATAACTATGGAAGCATGAAAGTCAAATAACCGTCTCTTGTAAAATCTACGTGCGTCTCGTGGTATGCACGAGACATTGATGGCTCGACCGTCTCAAGAGGACAGTTTAGGTACAGCAAGACAACAGGTACCATCACTGTTACTTGTCTGCCGTGAACGCTGATTCCAGGTTTTCATTGTGCCAAGATAACTTGTTTGTTTGTTGTTTAACGCCGCACTCAGCAATATGCCAGAAATATGCCAGAAATATGATGGCGGTCAGGACCAGACAATCCAATGATTGACATCATGAGCATCGATCCACGCAATTGGGATACGATGACATGCATCAACCAAGTCAGCGAGCCTGACCACCCGATCCCGTTAGTCGCCTCTTACGACAAGCATAGTCGCCTTTTCAGCAAGCATGAGTTGCTGAAGACCTATTCTATCCCGCATCTTCACGGGTCTGATAACTTTATTGAACGGGGCCCTAAAACCTGTTCCACAAAGCGATCTTAGTGCTAAATTGGTCGTAACTCCCATACTTTATCATAGACTCACTATCAACGTGGCACTAAGATCGCTTTGTGGAACGGGGCCCTGCACGGGGCTACGGGGTCCGCCACTGGGTTCGATTCCCCAGCTCCAGCAGGACACCATTATTGACGTCATGTGTTTGCTAAGGACGTCACAATAGCAATGACGTGAGAGATTATCTTTACTGACGTCATGCTGAGACTGTTTACAAAATAGGAGATACTTCTTCACCACAGCTAATTGTATATTCGACCATGAATTTAGAATTACTCGATTCTGATTGGTCAATCATAGGTTATCAAATCAAAATAGACACACTCTGGTGGAATGAGCCGATTTGACGGCCGAATCACCGCGGCAGGTAATGTTTATAGAATGGTATTTCTTTTTCAGCCATTGTCGGACTAAAAAGCATTCGGTTCCAAATTTAATTTAGCGTGGGCAAATCTACAATGAACCTCTGTCTACATGGAAAACACAGCATAGTTCTCTCCTAAGTGTTGAGAGTACAGGATGTATCGCGTGAGTGTGTGTTTGTATCAGTATTTCCTGAGCTGAAAGTAGGGATTGAATTCTGACACATGCATGACATCAGTATGGTTCACACAGTAACTCACCCCTATGCAGAATGAATATCATTCTTCAACATCTTCCCGAGGCAGGAGAGTTAGTTGACTGTTTGTTTGTTTGTAGTTTAACACCGCAATCAGCAATATTCCAGCTATATGACAGCGGTCTGTAAATAATCGGGTCTGGACCAGACAATCCAGTGATTGACATCATGAACATCGATCCACGCTTTAGGGATAAGATGACATGCATCAACCAAATCAGGGAGGCTGACCACACGATCCCGTTAGTCGCCTCTTATGACATGCATAGTCGCCTTTTCAACCTATTCTACCCCGGATCTTCAGTCAACTCCCTTGCCCCGGGAAGGTGATCTTCGATTGCTATATATGTACATGCTGAAAGTGAGGGAATAAGAATTTTCGCCGCTTCCTACACTATTCTAGCAATATCACGACAGGGGTCCCGACAGGGGTTACCAGGCTTATATCCATTCAGAGATTCGAACTCGGGTTCGGCCTGACCCTCAATACCTTAACCACTGAGCTACCCACCGCCACTATATGATGACAGGTCATCATGATAATGTTTCGCTGTTGTTTGTCCTATGATAATTCAGTGATTCCTATTGATGACTTGTGTGAGACTACGGTCCCTCATGAACAGCGCGGTACGAAGCCTCAGACGAGAACACAACTTCCTATATTAACGTGGATTGGCAGTCAGAGGTGACTTCCCACAGACAACAGTCTTCCTTTCTTTCATGAGGGATAAAGACAACCCTGTAGAATTTTAACTTGGCTAATCCGTAGACTGTTTAATCTGGGGATTATTCCAGGCAAACCTGTTTACAAACGACAAGCAGATAAACACGTAGATATACAAGCAGTCAAACTACAACATTGAAACAATACAACGCTTCACATTCTCCTCGGATCAAAGACAAAGAAAACTTTTTTCCGTTTTTTTTTCATGTTCTTATTTTATTTTCAGTAAGCCGGCAACCTTGGCGAGATGCTGTTTTCCCTTCCACAAGTTCACAGAGGACGATTTCCCGGCATGCTCATGCCATTTAACAAACCACTACCTCCATATGCCCAGTGCATCGCGACTTGGTTATGCAAATAGTGCAATAAAATACACGGATAACGATCTCCTGTCGAAAGCCTGGCTTGGAAATATCTCACATCTGCCACTTGAACGAGGCAGCGATCTATGAAAGATTAAGGCAACCCCACAGCAAGCATTACACTTTCTTTAACGTTCAGTTGTTTGGAAAGTACCACTGCGGCAACGGTATTCACAGTTGGTATATACATATATTTATGTCTTCAGTTGATCTTCAGATATTGTTGTGACAAACCTGTCTACAAAGTTTTTCTCTGGCTAGGATGTTATTTGAAACTTTGTTTATTCCGTTTAAAAAATACACGCACCAAAATCTTGCGGATTTTCTGTAAATGTCTAATAAAACTCAACGGTCCTGCGGTACGTTTTCAGCTGCTTGAAGGTACATTTGGAAGTGCCCGGATGAACACATGAAACTAGTCCCAATCTATCTCAATGTTTGCAGTACGGGTGTCAGTAGGAAAGACGTCTTCATGGTGCCCGATATTTATTTGTTATCATATTTCTTCTAATCAAACTATCATCATCATTATCATTATTATCACCTTCATTGTTATTATACTCATCATTATTATTATGCCTACGTCCTGAAAGGGCGGGGGTATATTGTTACGCCAAGGTATTCCGTCCGTCCTTTGTGTGCAACCTATAACAAGAAAACTACTGCATAAATTCTTTTCAAACATGGTGAACACTTTTATGTCAATGGGAATGGTGCAGTGTAAAGTTTGATTTTGATATGTATATTTTATGAAAACGTATGATGTTTTTCATGTTTTGAACTTAGAATTTTTTTACTTCAACATTTGAAGGACCTATAACTTGAAAACTACTAGATTCTTTTCAAGCTTGGTGGCCACCTCCTATATCTATAGGAAAGGTGCAGTGGGAAGTTTTGTTTTCAATACTAGAATTTGGATTTTCTGAAAAAATACAGCTCTTTTTCATGCTTTTCTGAGGATTGTTTTCATTGACATTTGTGCGACCTATAACTTGAAAACAACTTCACGGATTCCTTTTCCAATTAAGGGCACAGTTTCTATACCAATAGGAGAGATGCAGGGCAAAGTTTGATTTTGATATGGTTTTTTTTCGGAAAAAAATATGATTTTTTAATTTTTTGAACTTAGAAATATCTTGGAGTCGAGGTCGGCGGTATTAGTGAGCCCTGCTCACTTTTGCCTTGTTTGTTTACAAATATAAATAGCGCATTCAATTCTAAGTAGTTTGTGTAAACTTAAGCAAAGGAACCACTGCTATCAATATATGTACAGATTCTTCCCCAAAGTCGTCAATGCTTGGAGGATGTTTTTGTCTATAGACTAACACTCTGCCTCTGACCCCGTTATACAGCCCTCCAGGGCATCCGGGTGATATTCTTATCTTTTAAGTACTCATTGATTGTAATTAACAATACCAACAATTGTGAAAGTGTATTTAATTTTATTTTTCAACATAATCCCCCTGCTTTTCCATACACTTCTCAAATCGATAGTGAAGCTTTTCAATTCCAGTCAGGGAGAAGTTTTCTGAAGCCACCCTGAAAAACCCATTCACGGCAGCTTTGAGGTCATCGTTGTTGTCATAGCGTTTTCAGTTTAGCAAAGAGATGGAAATCACTTGGTGCCAGTCGAGAGGTGTGAGACGAGGCATTGTCATGAAGCGGTACAACTCCAGCAGTCAGCATTCTTCGCCGCTTTTCTTTAATATTATCTCTCAGGCGATGAAGCAAATCAGTAAAGACCGGTAATCGTCTTTTGACTTTCCAAGTTATCAACAAGGATCACACACAATACAGTGACCATAACTTTGTTCACTGATCTTGAAGACTTGAATTTCTTTTGTGCCGGAGAAGTGGAATGGTGCCAGCCTTTAACATAGCTGCCCAACGTTTAACAGTGGAATAACTAGGGAAGCTTATTCACATACACTTGTGACATGCGGTCATGAGTTTCGTGGGAAATACTTTTCTCTAAAGAAAAAAACTTGATGACTGCTCGGTACTCTTTCGTTTCCATTTCTGAGCCCATTTGGACCCCTATCACGTTTAACTGGTTGTCAGTAATATACAAACAGCCTCAACAGACCACATACACTCGCAATGAACTACTCAAACAATGTACTACATTGGACAGTTTACTTTCTTATGGCCCTTAGTTGAAAGTTAGTCAGGCCAGCCCTGGTTCATGAGAGGGAGATGGCAGCACCGAGGACACGTGCACTGATCGGATTGTCAGCCACGTGGGGGAAGATTAAACTCAAGTCACTTTTTACTGAACATAGCCAGGTTTACATTACCATGTCGGATTATGGGCTTGTGCATTCACTTATCAAGCCCATAGTCCAGGTTCGACTCCACAAATATTTAATTGAATGAGCAAGCCCCGTCACGTTATTGCTCAAAACTTGCTAAAGGTGGCGCAGTGCCTTAATCCTAGCCTTGCTCCAAGGCTGTACTGAAAGTAAGTCCATGGCTGTATAGTAATTCTATCCTCATAATAGGGAAGACTAGATTTGTGGACAGGAAGGACTCCAGTCTCTTATAAGGACAACGTGTTCTCATTATTTACATAATCTAGAAATTATGATTAAACTAATAATTTTTGCTTTAGAGACTTGTGGTAGTCTACGTACATACATACCAGGGCGCGGAAGAGAAAGGTGATATTGCCGCTCCAAAACCATGGGCGGTTAATACATTGTCGCTGATATACACGACACATAATGAACCGTCTACCTGATAATGTGTAGATAAATCCCGACTTCATAGATATACCTGATTACGAAAATGACAGTGATAATTCACAGTTGCAGATGGGGCCTTTATTTCCAAGTACAGATATAAAGATATTTATGTATCAGTTGACCGATCAGGTATGCATTAGTATTTAATCTCAAGCACGCGGCTCAGTTCAGTGATAGGTTAACGTACGTTAGCCATACTGGGTCACAAAAACACGAGGACGTAAAAACACGAGTGTTTTGTGTGACTGGGTGAGTATGGTCATACGCACTATTTCAGCAATATCACGGTGGTGGAAGGAGAGACACCAGTAAGGCCGGGTTCACACACTGCCGATTATGGCTCCCGTTTGCGATTAGACAGCGCTATGACACGAAAAGTGACAAGGTCGGATTACTATCTTCAATGATCTGGAATGTCCTATCATTGTCTGAACGCAGTCGTATACGTTCGTAACATATTCCTACGGATCGGGAAAGGTCCAGAGAGGTTGACCAATCACTCCTGGCAGTATGGTGCGTACCGTAACATTCGGGAAACTTAGCCGATTTTATTTTGTCTCGTCGGATTACAATCGTGACTATGTCGTGACATATTCTGCTGTATCGGATCAAAATCGTAACAGTGTCCTGTGTTGTCTGGACGGTGTTCTGCGGATCGGGAAGCTGTCGTGGTGAAAGGGCATGAATTGTTCATTGACGTTTCTTGTCGATTGAGTCCAGATTGCGTCCAGATCTTGCCGAATGCGAACCGTCTTTGTCTGATTGCTGTCGGATCGCATTCGGGAGAATCGGGACGTTGTCGGGACAGATTCGGTCATTTTTTTTACCATGCGGAAGAATCGGGACGAATTCTGCTGGAAACGTCAGATTCGGGACGCTTCCTGAACAATATCTTGTGAACTGCCCGCCACGAATCACAGGATCTTGATCTTACTGTTGACAAATTTTAATCGAGAATTGTCCTATCAAGGACGGCAGTTAAAATCCTGAATGTTTGACTGAGCCCTAAAGGGACATTGTTGTACCTATGCTGGGAATCGAACCTGAGCCCTCGGCGTGATATGCCAACGATAGCCATTGTCCGCGTGTGAGAATGAATGAGTACAAGTTGAGTGCTATTATAGCTAAATCCAGGATGTCTGCAAGTAATGGAACCTGTGACGGGCAAATATATGGTTGATAGCTTGAGCAATAATCCACGTCGTTAGGATTTGACCCGATCTTGACGTTAGTCATCTCTTACAACAAGCATGGAGTAAGGACGGTCTATAATCTGTGGATCTGTGCAGTTCATTATATTTGTTGTAGTCAATCGTGATCTCGTTATCGTGTACACACCAACATTTTTGGTGCTCACGCTGTCAACCAATGGTTTGTCTGGCCCAGGCTCAGTTGGTAAATCACCTCCGTGGTAAGCTGTCAGATTGCTCACTGCGATGGTCACAATGTATTTGATCAAAAACTAACGTGTTTAGAAATGGGATGTGTCTTTAATGGTAGCAATGGACACGGTGTACATATACTTCACTAAGCTAACACCATCATTAACCCGTAAATCAATACGTTTATTTGATCAATTCCATTCAAATATCCCGTAATCTCAAACCGTACGAAACAATCACACATACGGCACGTTTCTATGAGAAATCATTTCTTTGTTTCCAAATCCCCCAGCGTTTAATGGACAGCTTTTCATATACTTTTCTAATTTCTATGGTTGCTAGCATAAGTCACGTAAACCAAATGTTAAATTTCATTGCTGTTATTTATAGGAAGAGCGATGTCCCAGGAAATTAATTGTTTCGTTTCGGTTGTCAACACATTTTATTGTATATGGTCGCTATGTAAACACTCCTGACACAAGGATCGATACCTGAAAGAATTTTAAATTGTATCTGGGCCATTGGGTAAGCCCAATGATGTTTAGGAGTTTGCAGTGCTACATTAACGTCACATTGAACTGTATATCAAGGCGTCAAGGTGAGTGTTGATAAATCAAGTTTTATAAAATACTCAGCGACCACAACTCTGTCCTGGGGTATAGTCGTGCATGAACGACACCGCCAAACGAGGGAGGTAGTTGGGTTTAACGCCGCTTCCAACAATACTTCAACACTGTCACCGCATAGTACCCATGTGGGAAATTGGACCACTGTCTTTGGCGTGACGAGCGAACGCTTTAACCACGAGGCTACCCCACCGCCCCAAAATACAAAAAATTATTTTCGATAATAATCTGGAATTCGGACCTATGACTAAAATAATAAAAGGGACATAACTCCGCACAGTCACACCCATGCCTTCGATAATATTGTTCGATACGAATATACAAGCAAGGAACGGCATGATTTGTCATAAAACCATTAACAGTAGAGAAGCGCAGCTCATCTTAGGTAGACAGTATCCAGGTTCAATCATGGATTGTAAAGTTTGTCTTCCCCTGGGGTCGGACAGAATAAACCTGAATAAAAAAATAAATGCAACTCAGGATTTAAGTAATATCCATGCTCTTACTCTCATAATTCGATATACACAACCAACGATGAGTTCCTCTAATTCGTCAAACAGTTATAGTGATCATAATTATAATACATGAAATCCAGCATCAAATGGTAGAAGACAAACCTCGGAATTCATACCGTTAAGATTATGTACGTGTAGTTAACAAAAGTTGATGTAATAGGTTTTCCAGATAAATAATACATATTGACAAAATCAAGATCATTACATAAAGCCATTGCACTTACGAAATAGTAGGTTACATAGCAAAGCCATATAGCACCTTGGTAAATATACAACTGTTATATCATACTGCTTGTAATATAAAATAGGCATGTGGTCTCTTGCATGTCTTGAGTACCGAGCTACAAGAATCTCCACACATAGCACAGATGATTCCAGCATTGACTATACCGTACTGATAGTGTTGACTGGTATTGGCCTGGTCAGGGGTCTATATA